AACACATGAAAAAATGCTCAACATCGCTCATCATCAGGGAAATACAAATCAAAACCACAATGAGATACCACCTCACACCTGTCAGAATGGTCAACATTAACAACTCAGGCAACAATAGATGCTGATGAGGATGCAAAGACAGAGGATCTCTTTTGCACTGCTGGTGGGAATGCAAACTGGTGCAGCTACTCTGGAAAACAGTATGGAGGTTCCTCAAAAAGTTAAAAATAGAACTCCCTACAACCCAGCAATTGCACTACTAGGTATTTATCCAAGGGATGCAGGTATGCTGTTTTGAAGGGGCACAGGCACCCCAATGTTTATAGCAGCGCTATTGACAATAGCCAAAGTATGGAAAGAGCCCAAATGTCCTTGATAAATGAATGGATAAAGGAGATGTGAGATATATATATACATACAGATATAGATATAGATATATATACAAATATAGATATAGATATAGATATAGATACCCACAATAGAGTATTACTCGGCAATCAAAAAGAATTAAATCTTGTCATTTGCAACTATGTGAATGGAACTAGAGGTTATTATGCTAAGCAAAATTAGTCAGTCAGAGAAAGACAAATATATGACTTCACTCATATGAGGACTTTAAGATACAAAACAGATGACCATAAGGGAAGGGAAGCAAAAATAATATAAAAACAGGGAGGGGGACAAAACAAAAGAGACTCTGAAATATGGAGAACAAACAGAGGGTTACTGGAGGGGTTGTGGGTGGGGGATGGGCTAAATGGGTGAGGGTGAGGGGCATTAAGGAATCTACTCCTGAAATCATTGTTGCACTATATGCTAACTTACTTGGATGTAGATTAAAAAATAAATTAAATGTTTAAAAAAAGACCATAGTGTGGGAATGTAAACTGGTGCGGCCCCTCTGGAAAACAGTGTGGAGGTTCCTCAGGAAACTAACAATAGAACTCCCCTATGACCCAGCAATAGCACTGCTAGGAATTTACCCAAGGGATACAGAAATGCTGAGGCATAGGAGCACATGTACCCCAATGTTCATAGCAGCACTCTCCACAATAGCTAAAACATGGAAAGAGCCTAAGTGTCCATCCACAGATGAATGGATCAAGAAGATGTGGTTTATCTATACCATGGAATACTACATGGCAATGAGAAACAATGAAATCTGGCCACGTGTAGCAACATGGATGGACCTTGAGGGTGTTATGCTGAGAGAAATAAATCAGGCAGAGAAGGACAAATAACATATGTTTGCACATATAGGAGGATTAGGAGGAACTTAACTGAGGAACAAGGGAGAGAAGAAGGGGGGAAATGGTGGGGGAAAGGGAGAGAGGCAAACCATGAGAGACTCTTGAAGGGTGAGAAACAAACTGAGGACTGATGGATGTGGAGGGGAGGGGGGATGAGCATGGAGGAGGGCACTTGTGGGGATAAGCACTGGGTGTTATGTGGAAACTAATTTGACAATAAACTATTTGTAAAAAAAAAAAAAAAAAAAAAAAGACCATAGTGATCATTAAACAAACTAATTTGCGTAAAGTGTTTAGAACAGAGCCTGGCCCAGAGGTGGTCGATAGATATCATGATAATTATTCATGCTTCTGCTCAGTTCTATTCCCTGATCAGGTCTTTATATATTACAAACGTATTTTTAAAATAACCACTATAATTTTTTTTTTAATTTAAAACATTTAAAACACAGGAAGTTAGATAATCTTAAAAGAAATTCTCTTAATAAGGAATTCAACTTAGTACACTTGAATATTCAATTCCTGCCAATGCACATTTGTAATAGTCACTCTAAATTGATTATTTTGTGATTATTAACTCCATTAATGATCTATTCAAAGTTATCACCCAGAAAACATCACAAAAGCTTCTGATCAAGAACAGCTCAGGTCTTGAAAGGGTTTTCTCAGTGCCTTAGTCCATTTGGACTCCTATAACAAAACACCATAGACTAGGGGTGCTTACAAACAAAAGAAATCTATGTTGCACAGTTCTGGAGAGTAGGAAGTTCAAGATCAAGGCACTGGCAGATTCAGTGTCTGGTGAGACCCTCTTCCTGGTTCATAGATGGCCATAGTGGAAGGGCAAGGGAGCTCTCCAGGGTCTTTTTTGTAAAGAGTCTATAGGTCCCTCATAGACAGAATTCTCATGACTTAATCACCTTTCACACCCCACCTCCTATACGATCACTTTAGGGGTTAGTTTTCAACATACGAATTTTGAGGGAAACGAACATTCAGTCCATGGCACTCAGTATCATCCCAGAATATTCTTACAGCAAGTAGTAGCTGGTCCTTAAAGAGTGAAGGACTCCAATGTGTGCAGAATTGGAAAACCACCAAGACAACATAGAACAGTGTGCACATGCTGTGACCCCACCTAAGGAAAATACAGGTGTGTTTGTGTGTGTGTGTGTATGTGTGTGTGTGTGTGAGAGAGAGAGAGAGAGAGGTTATGTACAGAGTGAACATTTCTAGACTAATGCACATGAAACTGTTCGCAGGGGTTATGTAAAATGTTTTTGAGAAAGAAAGTGACAAGATCAGGGCTGTTAGCAGACTCACATGGCACACTGAGTGGGATGGAGTGGGAAGGACTGGAAGCAATTGAGCCAGGAGACCTGTTTAAAGGACGTTGCACTAGTCAGGATACGAGCTGCTGGAGGCCTATTCTGAAGCAGTGAGACGGATTGGTGGAGAGAAAAAAAAGAAATTAGATTCCCCTTCGAGACGCTCCCAGTGGTATCCCCAGGGCCCAGCACAGTAATTATATGTACTAGGTGCTCACCGAAGGTATGAAATAAATGGTCTCCCATATGAAAGATTTGACAGTTCCACTCCTAAGACATCCACTGACTTCCTCAAGATGTAAATCCCACAGACCTCGTCATCTCTCTTGAGGGCTCACTCACTCAGCCCTGGGCCCTGGGGAGCAGGGTCAGGAGACGGGAGCCATAAGCAGGTAGGGCCAGGGCCCATGTTTCCCCGGTGTCCCTCCGGCCCTGCCCATGCAGGAGTGTAACATTCCTGCTCTTCCCTGCTCTCGCTCCACCAGGCACCCCCCCAAATGTCTGCTCTACTGCAGACTCAGCCCGGCACTGGGCACTGGGCACTGGGCATGTGGCAGAAGGGGTATCTCCAAAAAGTTTCAGGCCCACTTCCCTTGAGCGCTAAGGGAAGACAAGAAAACTGCTAATGAGGAAGGGGGAAAGAAAAATGCCAAGAAAATCAGATGTAACCCTACACAGATGCACTCACACACACAGGCATGCCGGGGCTACCGTAACACTTTGCACATAAGATCTGATTAAGATAAGGGTTTTCAATGAAGGCAGCAGTGAAAGGGGAGTGAGCAGGAAGGAAAGGAGTTACAGAAGCGTAGCATCCAAGGACCAGTGGAAGGAAAGGTGCTCCTGAAGAACAGCTCATTCGATGGACACTCCCTGAATTGCCTGTCTATGTGGAAGCTCAACCAGGAGCCTTTGGTGGTGGGGGACAGTGAGGGCAAGTGGGAATAACTGTGTTTATTCTCGTATCTTCTAAGCCTAATATGGGGTCTGGCTTACAGTGTCTTGCTGAAATGTCTGTTGATTGAATTAAGGGATGTTTGGATGGATGGATGGAAGGAAGGAAGGAAGGAAGGAAGGAAGGAAGGAAGGAAGGAAGGAAGGAAGGAAGGAAGAATAGACTGGTAGATGGGTAAATAGGTGGATGAATGGATGGATGGATGGATGGATAAGAGACTACTTCTATCTGGTTTTCAGAGGCAAAATAGAAACCAATGTTTTGTGGCCATCAGATGGCTGGGGTTGATAGCTTTTCAAAGATGGTCTGCTTTTTCTTTTCTTTTCTTTTCTTTTCTTCTTTTCTTTTCTTTTTCTCCCTTCCCTCCCTCCTTCCTTCCTTCCTTCCTTCTTTCCTTCTTTCTTTCCTTCCTTCTTTCTTTCCTTCCTTCCTTCTTTCTTTCCTTCTTTCTTTCCTTTCTTTCCTTCTCCCTTCCTTCCTTCCTTCCTTCCTTCCTTCCTTCCTTCCGCAATCCCTACCTGCTGGTATTCATGTCTTTGTGTAATCCCCTACCTTTGAATGCAGGCTGCAGCTGACAAGTTTTTCCTAATGAGTAGAAGAAGGCAAAAGTGATGGGCTTTTCCTTCAGTGAGAAGACTACAAAAGATGGTGACTACATCTTCCTGGTGGCAAGGTGTCACAGTAGAGAGGCCCATGTGGTGGCCTTAGGCCAAGAGTCAGTGAGGGACTGAGGTCCTCAGCGCAACAGCCCACAAGGAACTGAATGCTGCCACCAACCTCGTAAGCATGGCAGGAGACCCTTTTCCAGTGGCGCTCTCACAGACAATCCCAGCCCCGCCAGTATCTGGATGACAGCCTGTGGGAGACCCTGAGCAGAGAACCTCCTAAGCTGTGCCCTGATCCCTGGCCCACAGAAACTAGGAGATGACAAATGTGTGCTGTTTCAAGCCACCATGTCTGGGGTTAATGTGTGGCCAGCAATGGCTGATTTGACTTTACAAAAAATGAACATTCTGACAATGAAACCTGGAAAATGATGGTAGCAGTGAAGAATCCAGGTTCTAGTACCAACTGGGCTCCTTTGAATCTGTGTGACCTTGGGCAAGATAATCAACTTCTCTGAGCCTCTGTTCTGGCTTTCTTAAAATGGGTATAATTCTCTGCTCATAGAGAGTACACAAAAATTACATAAAGTACTTAGCTAGGTACCTGTCACCAAATAGAAGGTAGCTACTAGTAATAATAACAATAATAATAATAATAATGGAGCAAGCTCCCTCACAAAACAGCGAGTGTCCCACGCCTGGAAGTGATCAAGCTGAGGCATGACGGCAATGCGCAAGAAGTGAACGGAACACTTGGGGACCCTGATCCCATTCCCAAGCTTCAGATTTGAGTGCTGTGTGGCTGCCTAGCCAATGCTGGGGACGGGGGGGATCAGGTGTGCCAAGGGACCATTGGGGTTACCTTGCACCAGGGTTTGGTAGTAGCCGTTCCTGGCCTTGACCATGGGTAGCACCTGCATTCCTGTATCCTCCGGGCAGGTGTTCAGCCTCCACCTTGACTGGGCCCCTGGAGCCCAGGAAGGTAAACACCCAGCCAGGAAGTGATTGTCATGGGCATGGCGCCAGCTCTGGGCCGAGGCGGGTCTGAAGGTCAGGAATGCCTCACAGGGAGCCTTCTCCAGGAGAGGACAAAGTACTTGGCTGCAGGCTCTCAGAGACAGGGTGGAGAGTGTTGGGGACACAGCGGCCTACTCGGGGGACCGGACAGGAGGAGCCATCCAGGGGGGCCCCAACCCCCAGGAGCACCTCATTGGCAGGTGAGCAAATGATCTTGGTATTTTTAATGAAAGGAAATGAAATAAGAGATGGAATGCGGGTTTGGGAGGATTGGAAACACCCCAGGCAGGTGTGTGAAGGGGAAGGAAGCCACCACCCATCCACTCATTGAGAGAGAGCCCCAAGAGAGAAGACAGCCCCGGACTTCACTGTGGAGGCCAAGTCTAGTCTTGGCTTCACCATGCCCTGCCAGGGACTCAGTTTCCCCATCTGTGAAGTGGGGTAATGATCCATTCCAGGCTCCTCTACTGTGATGGCTCTGGAGGGCAAGTGAGAGAAAAAAACAGGACCGGACCACACAGTTTGCAGGGCCCCATGCAAAATGAATTTGTGAGGCCCTATGTTCAAAGTTAATTAAGAATTTCAAGAATTAAGAATGTAAAACTATTAAGAGTGACAACAGCAGAGCATTAAACCGAGTGAGGGGCTTTTCTAAGAGCAGAGCCCTGTGTGATCGCATAGGTCACTTGCTCATGGCTCCAGCCCTAATAAAAAAACGTGTATGTAAACTGTGAAATGCCAACCGTGATTACTATGTGCCATGGCTCAAATCTCAAGGTCAGGAAGTACACCTGGGAACAGACGTCTAAGCCCCGAAGTGATAGCCCATTGCAATGCTGTCCCCCCAGCCAGGGCCTCTGCTGCTAAGGGTCCCATCCCAAAAGGACAAAAGCCCCCCCCTCCCCCCACCCCGCAAACCTTGCAGACTAGTACACCTGCCTGGCACCAAACCAAAGCATGGCGTGACTCAAATGTCCGGGGACACCGTGCTCTTGGAGGTGGTGGGGTAGGTCCTTTCATTCTCTCTCGGTTTAAAATTTGGGATGTTCACAGTCACTGGCAAAGCTGAGGTAGGACCTGCGGCTCCCGCACGCGTGACTGCTCTGCCGTGTTCTCCCGATTACCCACGCGCGTTTGCCTTTTGGGAAAATGCTCATGTTAATGCAGTGAGACCATTGGTGGGAATGCCACCCGCCCCCCCCCCGTCACATCTCTGTCCTCCCCTCCCCTCTCCGTTTCCCACTCAGACTTCCTCTTCCTTTTTCATCCCTGCCTCTTCTCCAGTGCCCTTGGCATTGCACAGCTCGCAGCAGTGGGAACTCTGGGTGTCTCCACAGGTGTCCTAAGCTTTCTGGGAAATCAGACAACAGACCGTCTCCCCCACCCCACTCTCAACCCCGCCCCTTCCTGGAATCCACAGTGTCCTGTCTTGCAAATCCTTCCTTGGAGAGGACCCCTTCCTCCAGCCCCTGTAGAGGGGTGTTAATACCAAGGCAGTGTGAGCAGGGACCACAGGCTTTCTCCCTGTGGCCAGAGACGGAGGCAGACAATGACTGAGGAGCTCCGTCTTGCCTGTGGGAGGCCTCTCTGGCCTCAGCCGGGCAGCCTAGGGGCCTAGGCTTGCGGCAGGGGACAAAGCAGCCCAGAGGCCCAGCGGGCTGGATCTAGCAGGACACTGGAGTGGCTGTCCGGGCAGCCAAAGAGCCACCAGCCCCAAATCCAACATCCCCCACGCCCGTGGGCCCTTTGCCTCCCCAAGTAAGGAGTCAGCTCCATCGCCTGGAGGCTACCCCTGGCACCCCCACAGAATGACACAATTCCCTCCTTTATTCCTTCATCAAACAACTGCCACGCCCCTTAGGCAGGTGAGGCTTTGCAGGGGGGCTGGGGGCACAGACTCGACCAGGGTGGCACAGGAGAATCTGAACCCCAAGGCCAGGTTAGGGGTCCCCACTCCATGAATGGAGCACAGAATACCCTCCTCGCTCCAGGGACGGTTATGGATTGTGGGGCTCAGAGGCATTTCGGTGCACTGAGCCAGGAGGTCATATCTCTGAGCCCACTGGGCGTTTTTTTCCGGAACTCCCCTTTGGCATCTCAGGGAACTGCTGGGGCAGAGCAGCCTGGGACTCCGCACCTTGGGGTCACCTTTCCCCACTTTGGGAGCCGTCAGACCCACTTTGGGAAGCTGTGGACCTCCGGACGTGGAGGAAATATCCAAAGGAAGACGGTCAGCTTGCCCCCCTTTCCTTGGTTGGCAGTGGTACTTGAGAGTCCCCAGAGACCACACTGGGTCAGGGCAAAAGACTGAGCACTAAAGGCACCTGGAGGTGCTCAGTCGGTTCAGCGTCCGACTTCAGCTCAGGTCATGATCTCATGGTTCATGAGTTCGAGCCCCATGTCCGGCTCTGTGCTGACAGCTCAGAGCCTGGAGCCTGCTTCAGATTCTGTGTCTCCCTCTCTCTCTCTCTGCCCCTCCCCTGCTCGTGCTCTCTCTCTCTTCAAAATAAACGTTTAAAAGGGGGGGGGGGGGCTTTGCCTGAAACATCCCTTCGTAAGTTTCTTTGGGAGAATAGCTCTGGTGGCTAATTAAGAACCTGGTGTCTGGGAACCTGGGTCAGGCCCTGTCTCAATCTTTCTCCCTCAACTGGCCCACCCTTTGGGATGGGGGAATGAAGGTGGGGGTTTATCATCAAAGGGATGGCAAGGAGGCCTGCATGGAGGAAGTAGCCTTGGAGCTGAGCATCATTAAACAACCTAATACCACTTCTTAATTATTTACAAGAGGAGAATGATGGGTATGGTTTTATGTATTAGAAAGCAGGCTCTCTAACTTAAAAACAAGGTAATTTTTTTCACACTTACCCTAATTGAATGTTGCAAACTCTTCAAATAGCACACTCTCAGGAAAGGGACAGCAGCCGTTTAAGAACGTGGTGTGGGAGCTCCGCAGGGCATGCACCGGACGAGCAGACAGAAGAGGCAGAGGCGTGGACCTGGGGAAGCAGGAGTACAGATTTGCTGGAGCAGGGGGAGGGGGGAGGGGGGAGGGAGGGGGGAGGGGGCCGCCACCCTGGATGCCTCAACCCCAGCGCCTCCCGGAGATCACAGTGGGGGGTCTGTATGGCCAACACACCCCACGGGGAACCCACCCTGCAGCTCCAGCAGGAGCTGGCTTTGCCTCAGTCGCCTTCACTTTCGGCCGGAGGCTCACACACCGGCTCAGCAGTCTCCCACGGCTAGAGGCTCTGCCCGTCAACTTTCTAGGCCTTTGATGAGTCTAAAAATGGGGCGCTGATTCATTATTATTTAATGAGTATATTTCCTCCAGAGGCAAAGCCTCCAGAACAGGCTTCTCAGGGAACAAGCAGATCGGATGATGCCTTCAAAGGCTCAGAGAAGCTTGGGATCCGCTGGGGCAGGGACCAGCTGGGATAAGGAAGGCAGGCCAGCGGGGCCTGAGGACCCTGACCCCCAGGTCCTGTCTGGAAGTGGCAAGGGTTTTTCCCTGTGGTCGATTCGGGAAGCGTTGCTCAATCGCAAGTACAAGTTCGTACGACCTGCTTGTGCCAGTGTTTCAGTCCCCCGTGGCAGTGAGCTCCCGGCACTCTGAACTCTTAGCACCTCCTCCTTCAGCCAGTGTTTGCTGCACGCCTGCTCTGGGCTGGCAGCGGTAAGATGCGACAAGGTGGACACCCCCCTGCCCCTTTCCCAGGGCCCTGCAGCTGTCTCAACCCCCCACCCCCACCCCTTACTGCCATCTAAACAGGTAGGGTAGCAAAACCCAATTTCCCACTCACGGCTGATTCACTCAGCGTCCCTGAGCCAAAACAGATTCCCATTAAACCCCACTAATGAGACAAAAAGCTTCCAAGCATGTTTACGTTTATAAAACCCTGGCATAATGGGCTTTAGTTTCGTGATGTTCTATAGACCAAAATTCACTCCTGAAAGTGAGTATGTCTATACAGATATTGTTTTGCTCTCATCTGAATGATAAAAACATTCCTTGGTGGATTCTCGAAAGCCGGACAGACTTCTTTTCTCGAAATTCCTTTTTAAGGCAGTTAGCTTTGAACTTTAAAACGAGGGTAAGGTTTTTTGTTTCTGGAGTAGAAAAGGCAGCTGCCACATGGGCAGTTTTTCTTAGTGCTTGAGCCATCAGAACTGTTCCCTGGAAGGTTCTTTCTAGTTTTCTGGCCTCTTTGGAACCTGCCAGAGTCAAAGATCAAAGTCACTTGCAGGAGGCAAACTTGGGTTTCAAGACAAGGGTGAGACATGGAAAGATTCTAGCTCCAGCTCACAAGGAAGCCATCTTGAAGCCCAATCTAAGATAAACAGACCCACCTAGGCTGTGTTTGGAAAAACATTATAATTTGTGTATCCCTTGGAGAAATATCACAGAAACTGTCAAAATAAAGGAGCATGGGTACATGCGCAGGTATGGAGGCCAAGGTGGCCATATTCTAACTGCTTGACCCCAGGCTGGGTCACTGTCTCTCTGAATTCTCTATAATCTTATAAGGCTGTTTTCTCAGGAAAGGCTGTTTGCTCTAAGTCAGCCTGTCCTAGATAAAGGTTGTAAGGAATAGTTTAGAAATCACGCTCTTTGCCAGAGCCCGGCTCTCTCCACCACATTCTGGCTGTGTGACTTTAGCTGAATTAGTTAACCTCTCTGAACTTCTACATCCTCCATGGTACAAATGGAGGAAATGGGGCAAAGATAGTAATGATCACTAGGATTGGTCTGAAGTTTCCATGAAATGATGACTATATCGGGCTTCGCTTTCACTGTTATTATCTCAATAGGCCTAGAGAAAAAAAGAATAGATCCTCTTTTCTAATAAAAAAGTTGACTTTAAGCAGCAGAGAACTGAGCACTCAGCATGAATGTGTACATAAGAACCCTCGAATGTAAGAGAACTGATATCCTTTGATGCGTTCACCCACCTGCTCCGAGTGCTTGGAGCCTGGCCAGCTTTGGGGAACTCCCTTCCTTTGATGGTACCACTCAGGTCTACCTGTTGTGCCCGGGGGAGACTGTACACCCACCCAAGGTGTCTGCTCATTGGACCCGATGATTATTTTCCTCCAGTGAATATTCCTTGATAAGTGAAGGCACTTTTTCTGGCAAAACCATACTGCTCCAATTAAAAAAAAACAAAACAAAACCAAACAAAACAAAACCTGAGTCTGGTAACTGCTAGTATGGAAAGCATTTGAGGATGGAGCACCTGGGTGGCTCAGTCGGTGAAGCATCCGACATCAGCTCAGGTCGTGATCTCATGGCTCATGAGTTCAAGCTCCACATTGGGCTCTGTGCTGACAGCTCAGAGCGTGGAGCCTGCTTCAGATTCTGTGTCTCCCTCTCTCTCTGCCTCTCCCCTGCTCACGCTCTCTCTCAATAATAAACATGAAAAAAAAAAAAGACAAGAAAGAATTTGAGGGAATCAATGGTGGATTGAACCTTCTGGATTTAGGGCTCCACTCACAAGGAGAGTGTATTAGTTTTATGCTGCTGCTATAACAAATGAGCACACACTTATGGACTTACAATATAGATGCATCATCTTTCAGTTCTGGAAGACAGGAGTCCAAAATGGGTCTCACTGGGCTAACATCCAGGTGTCGCTGGGCCACTTTTCTTCCAGTAGCTCCTGA